GTCATCTGTCATCATGTCCATCAATAGGCGCAAACTAGAAGGGGGTGAGACCCTGATGTAAATCCACCCCGACTTAGAACTGATCTGTCAGTTCTACTACACAGCTCCCAACTGTCGCTGTCCTCATACATGTCCAGCACCACCTTCACATTCTTCTCTCCAACTCCTGGCTTCCTCATGTAGTACCACAGTTCCTCGCCACAGATCCTCACATGCTTTCTCAAGATCCACGACGAAACTCCTTCTGAACTTCTCTCTGTGTAAATTAATTGTATTTCACTCATGGAATCATTTACTTTAAAATTTTTTTTTTAAAAAATCAACAAGACTTCTCATATTTTTACCAGTTTCTTAAAATGGAACAAGTTCTCAGTTAAATGAGAACAAAGTACAAACCAGTATTCGGGCAATATGGTATTCATGACACTTCAATTTCATCTATAGCACATGACAGCTTGAGATAACGTAGACACCAGAGTATCCCAGTAGCTCTCCCTGTGCGTATGACAAGGCCATAGCGATGATTAAGTGGTCGGCACATTTTAATGAACACAAAGCCATTCAAGTGGAAGCAGATTTTAATTGAAATCTCCTTCTGTTTAATAACTTACCTTATTCACTGAGTCACGTTTCAGGAGATATAGAAGGTGAATGTGTGCTGAGTGAATAAGTAATTCTGTTTCACTTCACAAGGCTGCTCTGTGCCCTGGGGGTGGGGGATGGGGGGGCTTGCTGTAGTTTTTGTCACCGTTTACTTTTCCTGCTTACACCATTTCCCAACAACATCCACCTCTCTTCTTTATACACTTCCATGCACAATTATCACGCACAAATGGAACAATTCATTAGTATTATGTCAAGATTAGTAGTGTGTTAAGGTTCATTGTTGTTCACCAGAATTTTTTTTTTTTTTTTAAGTTTTTGGCACCAACTAAATTCAAATTTTCTTAATGAAAAAAAAAAAACACAGTCCAGTGCAAAGTTATATAAAAACCCAATAATTTATTATCATTTCTTTTGCAAAGATCACCATTATAACACATTTTACCTGGCTACAAATGTTCCACCTACGCTTTACTTCAGACCATCAGACATCGACTTAAAACGTTACAGGACTTAGTTTTCAAAAATTTCAAATTTACAATACTTCACTTAAAAAGTATTCATTTGGATGGAGTTTACTATACACGTAACTGGACTATAAGACTTTTGATAAATGGCAACCCGTTTATCTCACCAGTTCTAAAATGCTGTGTTCTGAGTCCTGCTCAGTGGCAATCGTCCTAACACCACTTTGATGTAACTGCAAATATGAATCAGAACTATTATACAATATATATGAATGTTTCCAGTTGTCAAAAACTCAAATCATACAATGTATGAATAAGTCTGAACAAAATATCTCTGTTGCAAAGATACACAGACAGTTTTGCGGTTGAAATCATGTCGCCACAGAACTGGCAACTTGATCGCCGTTGATTCATGTCTGGTTGTTAAGGCTATGCTGAGTTAAGGTGTATGTGGGAGAGTAAAAAGTACTGATATGTAAAAGCTATGGGAAGGTTCATCTGTTGTCATATATGTAGAAAATAAACCCACAAAATAAAACTGAATACAAAAATTTTACCCAAAGCTGCCAAACCAGACAAACAAAGCATATCAGGACATATTTTTAAATGTCCTCTTTACTAATGAATCAAAAGTATTTAAAAGTTTTAAGACATGTGATTCTGTGTCCAAAACTGTATTTCTCCACTAAACTGTTAGTGCAGCAGCTTTGCTTTGTTCCCAATTTGTAGCTTTGTTGTTGAGGTTATAGAAACAACACGTGCTTTGCTGTAAAATGAGGTATCCAACTTTTTTAAAGATGTTTTTGCAAATTGCTGATAACAATTCAATTCAACGTGCAGCGCCAAATCCTTACCCCCTCCCACCTCCTCGTTTCCATGGGAATTGTCTTTAAAATTCAGGACAATGAGGAGTAACTATGTCCACGTCTCCTTTGCTTTGAATAGGAGACAAAGACTGCATACGTATACGTTAGTTTGTATTTATTTAAAAAAGTAAAAAGCAAGTGACCAGCTGATGCTCCATTGGTAAGTGTGCATATTACATGAAAGAAAAAAAAGTCTCTTAGAACTGTCTTGAGTTAAGTGGTTACAACATAAATATGAAAATAGAATTGAAAAGATAAACATGTTTTGCGTAAAATAACAAAATAATTGTATTGTCATTGTATCATAGAAAAAATGCTTTTTCCCCACAGAGTGATGTGAAAAAAACAATCTTGGAAAAACATCAAAATGTCATGATGCTGCTGATAAATTCTTTACAAAATGCTTTTTTTGGGTTACAAAGTGTGAAAAATATTCCTATTGTCCATGTAAAAATGCCACATTTAACGAGGCAAGTATGTCGTACCACATGGGGTAGAATGTGTGTGTTTGTTTTGTTTTTTTATACAGTAGTGACTGAAAGGAAGGCATTGTGTACCTTAGCTCCCTCTGGGGCCTTGGTACCATGAGTCATCAGCTCCTGGATTGTCATCCAGTTATCCAAGATCTTCTTGTTGCGTTTCTTCATCATCTTCTTGTGGCTGAGCTCTATGATGCTAACTTCCTTTCGACCCTCACTGCTGCTCTGAGGGTTCTCCCTCAAGCTCTCCAGCCGACTGCGCTGCATGAACTCTCGCCTCTTCCGCTGTTCTTTCGCTCTGACGAGGTGCTGCTTTCTTTCCTCTTTGCTCCAGTACCTCCCCATCTTCATTTCACTCATTGCGTCGTCATCTGTCGTCATTCCCCCGCTGCGTTCCTCTTTAATCTTAAGGGCTCGCTCCTTCAGGATCTTGTCTCTCACAGGCCTCTTGGTGATGTAGCGGGTACCGTCACTACGGATCTTGACCTTCCACTCCATCTTGGGCTCTGTAATGGGCCTCTGAGGCTCTTTACAGACACTAAGTAGACTGAGCTGGCTCTGAGCGTACTCTACAGCTGAGCGCTGTTGTATCAGCTGCATGTAGCTCTGGTAGTGGCGGGCGTGAGCTGGGATGTTGGTCTGCCTCTGCTGGGAACTGTGAGAAGGTGAGAAGTATGGATTTCGGGAAGCGCTTTGGTTTAGTTTCCCTCTGCTCTCTTCCTCAGCCTGAGGTGTTTGGTCTGACTCAGAAGGATTGCTGTGGTCAGGGCTGCTGCTCTTACCCAGGAGTGGAGCGCGGCACGCTGGGATGGGGCTCAGGCTAAGAGAATGACCAGCAGCGAGGCCGCTGCAGAGGTTCCTCTGGTTTGTAAGACTAACCATTCTCTGGAGTGAGTGCTCCGGGGAGCGGTCCATTGCCAGAGGGGTGCTGCGTGAACTCTCTGCTGTGTTGTAGGCACTGGAGCTGTCCTTGTCCGATTTCTCTAGCCTCTCGTTAATGTCGGCCAGCTTGCCCTTTGAGGGCTCACCGCGGTGAAAGCTTTGGATTTTGGTGGAGGGTGTAGAATGGCCCACTGAGGGAGACTGCTGACCCTTACGAAGTTTATGGGCCTGCATGATGTTCTGACATTCAAGCTCGATGCTGCGCAGTTCCTCATTGAGCATACGCAGCTCGTGCTGTACCCCCGCCTGCTCCCCCATGCTGCACTCAATAGTGCTCCGGCGGCTGTAGAACAGGTCGTACTCGCCGCTGTTGCGTATTTGACACTTCAGTTCCAAGAGCTGCTGGAAGCGATCACCTTCTGCTTCATCGTCATCCTCATCTGCTTTGTCGTCTAGCCGCATGGAGCTGGTGGTAGAGTGCGTGTCCCGACTGTCTTTCAGGCACTGGGACAGACGTTTCTGGATATGTGCCATGACATTATGCTGCGAGTTCCCCATCCTGTCCTTTATGCTCAGTACATTGTCCTTATGATGAGGGAGTGTGGAACAAGTGGGCTTATCATCCTCTGTTCTCTGAAATAAGTTGAAGAGAATCAGCGTGAATTACTTCTAGATAGATAACAACTATGGGATATGCAGCTGTGTACAACATAAACATGCGTTGTACATGAATGTGCAACAGCTACGCTCTTTTTTAAAGCATGGTAATTAAACCTAAATGTACAGACTTTCTGTTTGGTACGGAGCCCCGCAGGGGACATGGGAGAAAAAAAAATTAAGACGGACTTTTGCGAGATCTCGCAAAAGTTTTGCGAGATCTCGCAAAACAAACTCGGGATCTCGCAAAAGTTTTGCGAGATCTCGCAAAACAAACTCGCAAAACTTTTGCGAGATCTCGCAAAAGTTTTAGCCGCATTCTTCCCATTAGCTTGAAGCTAACGGGAGGTCGAGACCTCCCGTTAGCTTCGAGCTATCGGGAGGTCGAGACCTACTACAGCCGGGAGGAACACCGCTTTCCCGGCACATCGTGCCTCGACCTCCCGGTCGGCTTCGAGCCAGCGTCCGAAGAATGCGGCTAAAACGTTTGCGAGATCTCCCCGAGTTTGTTTTGCGAGATCTCGCAAAAGTTTTGCGAGATCCCGAGTTTGTTTTGCGAGATCTCGCAAAAGTCCGTCTTAATTTTTTTTTTCTCCCATGTCCCCTGCGGGGCTCCGTAGTTTGGTAATATAGAAACATGCTTATTCTGAATTTATTCTCTGATTTAATCATGGAGTGAGGGGGGAAAAAAACAACAACAAAAAGTCACAAGAACTTTTTAAGAGTTCAAGAAGTGCAACCCTCTTCTGCATTCCCCTGAAGGAATACATATGTGGTTGTGCATAACTCTGTTAAGCAGCTCTGTTACTTCAGGGATTGTCTCCTCTCTGCCATGTCTTTGAAGTCCCATTTATATGGATTTTTGAGGTATGCTATCCTCTCAGCAAAACAGAATTTTAAATCACGGTTACTAATGTTTGGAATTTAAATGGTTCAACAGTCCCCTTCCATAAATATTCATAATCGGAATTTAATGCTCACATTTCACAGGGCGAAGCTTGTTTTGACTCGGTTTTGCAAAGAAAGTTGATGAACAGTTTGTCTTGTGATAGAAATGGCATCAAAGATAATATTGGCTGTGTATAATGATCTGTCACAATGAGCTGTCCTTTTTTTCTCCTTGCTGAGTTTTAGAAGCTTCGTTATACTGAACAGTGCAAACAAAGAGCTTCAGAATTTCTTACATGGAGATAAGCTTTTTCATTCACTTGCTCATTACTGGCAGGGTCAATATGTCTCGATGCTGTCTGACCTGTTCATTCTCCTGTTCCTCTTGTAAGGCAGCTAATTCCATTTCCTCTCTTTGCTGCTCCTCCAACATTTCCATCTTCAGTTGCTCCAGGAACTCGCTATGTTCATCATCCAGCCAGGCTTCTTCCAGCTATAGGTGAAGGAAGAAGGAAAGCATATGGTGAAGGAAAGGGTTTAGGCTAGTGGCTTAGTGACATTTTTGTTATCCTTTTTGGGGAATAACAAGCGTCATGACACACATTTGACAGATATACACTCCTCATCTTTTAAACATGGACTCTAATCGTAGAATCAGAACCACGTAACTTGATGGCCACCACTTTTAACCTGTTAGGCCGTATCATCCACACCATCCATCATCTGTTTGTACATCTGATGCAAACCAAATGGTATCCATATCTGATGACTTCAGATTTACTACTAAAATACATTTAATTAAAGAGCCTACTATTGCTTCCAGCTCCTCTGCACTGCGGCAGAGTCCTTCCACTTAGTTTGTCATCGGCCCTGGGCCTGAACTCACTCCACATTAGCATGCCATTAGCTTTTATGGCTTACTGTTGGAAGTCAATTACAGTGGCGCTACATAAAAATAAAACATGATGAGGTCTCAGACGTGGCTTGCAGTAGGAGTGGTTACATGTGGTGGGAGGGCGTTGGTGGCTACACCAAACTGCTAAGGTCTTCTTTGAGCAAATACACAGTACAGTACAGTAAAAGCCTAAATTTGAAACCATACAGGTTATGTAAACTGTAGATTATGTCCAGACAGTTCAAAAGCAGCTGGGTTATCTTAGCTCCATGGTTGTTCTTTTGTAAGTTTTTGTCACTTCTCTTTTACATTTTCACTTTTTTCACTTCAAACTTAGTTTCTTTTCTTTTCCAAAGACAAGTCGAGGAAATTAGTTTTTACTATTTGACTTCAGTGCATAATAAGTCAGTGTGAGTTGAATGTGTGATTATTTCTCACCTGCATCTCAGGTCTGGCAACCAGCAGTATGATGTTCCTGCACTCGTCACTGGAGAGTGCAGCCATGGCTTCCTCCCTGTCCTGTACATCCTGGCCATTAATCTGAAGACGACAAACACGATTAAGACCATATTAGGTGAAACACAAACAAGCACAAATTTCAACACAGGCACGAACACACAGGTTAACTTTCATCGCTCTAATGCAAATGCCCTTAAGAAAAACAAAATGCCACACTGAAACACATTGGACAGTAGTGCCCTTTTCCTGGGCAAATTGTCAACCCTCTCTGTAATAAATCTGGACCCAGCAGCGATTATGAATGAGAAACCGGCCGTGGGCTGACGGAGGTGTTGTGTCCACCAAAGCATCCAGCAGCATACATACATCTAGCCGTACAATTAACTGGCCACTGACAGGTGGCGTCCATCTTTTTGCAGGCAGAGTAATGGCCCTGTCACTAGTGGATAATAGTGCCAGAGTACCCGTCTGCCTCACAAACCTATGCACACCGCTTCCCTTTGTTCAAATCAGCCACACAACATGTACTGTTGAGACAATTAGACCAGAAGCACTCATGGATCCACTTCACATAGCTATTATAGGCCAGCCAGACTATTTCTGTCTCTCTTTCCCTCCCAAGATGGTCAAATATATAGAAAAGAAACAGAGTCTGCACAACTTTCACTCACTTAGACAAGCTTTCTTATAATTTCTGTAAAAAGTCTTCAGCAATAGCTCTCCAGGCATCTTGAAGGAGTTTTAAAGCTCTTCTTTGGATGTTGACTGCCTTTTGTTTTATTCTTTGTTAAGATGATCCCACTTGTCTCAATTATGCTGAGGTGGGGGATCTGAAGAGGCAAATTCACGACTAGAACAACAGTGTGCTTTTTCTGTCCAGATATAGTTTTACTGCATTGGCAGCGTGTTTGGAATCACTGGCATCAGTCCAAAAGACCAGTTGCTACTGATTTTCAGTTTACTTGTTCTGTAATTTGGTAAAGCCCCAGTCTTTTCTCCCTGTTTCCCATCTTTAGCAATGGCTTCTTGACAGCCACCCTTCCACTGAGACCATTCCTGATGAGGCTTTAGCAAACAGTAGTTGGCTCAACCGGCACATCTCTTAGGTCCTTTGTCGGGTCTTTAATTTATTTTTTCCTTTTCTCTAAAGAACACGACTTTCAGAAACTGTTTATCTGCTGTAGATCATTATTTTTAGCTCTCTCATTTCTTCTTTTGTCCCATATTTTTAAATGTATTTAAGGAAACGCCACCATGCTGAGATATGCTAGGTTTTTGGCTAACAGGTAGGAATGACCATGTTGCTGCAAAAATATTACTGTGTACTGTGCATTTAGTTATACATTCAACAAAGAAATTGGAACAAAAAGATGAAAATCCAAATTAAAATAGGTTCTTTGATAAGTTGTCTGCTATGTGCGGATACAACAGTTACTGTTTTATGCTGCTATAATATGCCAAGCGATGTCAGGAGACATCTCTTGTCTGTTTTGCCTGGTGTGCAAGACAGACAAGTGAAAAAAAAGATGAAATTGTCTCTAAACAAGGGTGCAGGTTTAACTATCTGGGATGAGCAGCTAATCCATAAAGCTAATGCAGAGCCCTGGGTTCCATCTGTTCCATCACAATAAAGGGAAGACAGCTCCAAAATTGCTTCTATACAGACACACAGATTATTGGTAAAACATACAAGTCCAAAATTCTGGAGGTGGTATCTCAGATGTTTTCAGTTTGTTTTATGGCAACCATAAATCCATTAACACTGGCTTAACAAGCTATTATGAAGCTATTATGGTGACAAACACTGTAATCGCCTACCTATCCCACAGAAACAACACGATCCAACCCAGAGCTCTAACAAACGTCGGTCCTTGTCAGTAGCCATTCCAAATCTCAAGCCTGGATATCTAGCTAGGGGCTAATAGCAGTTACTGCCTCTCAGCTATCCCACAGGAGGCAGCAGCACAGTGTCACTCCCAACCAGAACTCTTAAAAAAACCCTGCTGGTGCTGAGTCGGTAACTAAAACAGCCAGGGGGACATTTCTCCCTCTTTAATAGTCACAGCGGTTGCAAGTTCCCCCTTTAATGTACTGCCATTAAAAATGAATGGGCTCTCTTGCTGGGAGACAGTGGTTGAGTGTGACAAAATAGGAGAAGAATTTTATTTTGAACCTAATAAAAGCCAGTGTGGAGGTGACCAGCGAGTGCTTTACTGCACCTGTAAAATGCGATCCCCCTCCCGGATTCGTCCATCTCTGGCAGCGATGCTGTTTGGACTTATCTGTGAAGGTGGAGAAGGCACAAAATTATACATGAAACACTTTCAATCTTCATTCGAGAGAATCTAGATGTGGCTGGAAGTATTGTGTGATAGCTTTCCAGACCATTCCTGACCATTTGATCTGTTCCTTTTATTGTTTCCTGAAAGCCCGAGGAAGAAGCTAAATCATCACCTTTATCATCCAAGACATCGATTGCACCTCCCTCAGTTATTATTTTTTTGACAACTTGATAAAAAACAAGTCTCTGCATATAGCATCTCCAGCCAGTAGCTCAACTCCAGTACATCGTGCACCCGCTCCTCATGTAACTAATGCTTGTCAACAAGAGGGCAGAGCACTCTTTCATTGACCAATCAATCGGCATCTGGGGCCATTCGTTTCACTTTCTCCTATCAGATAAGATCTCGGCAGACAAGGAGGTGTTCAAGCACTCCATCTTCATGATAGTTCACTCCTACACAGAGGGCCGCTCATTAGACTGGGACAGAAGTCCCCAGGCAGGAATTAGTGAAGGGCTGGAGAAAAAAAAAAAATTGAAGGTAATTTCTCAGCAGTCAAGGAGAGAACTTCAGATCGTGAATAACTTGCCACCGTTTACATGTTGAAGATGACATTGTTAGTGGCAAAACCGCTGTTTACAGAATGAGTATCTTAGCTTTGCCTCTTAGCTTTAATCTTTTTTTTATGTATGTTTGTTTCCTTTTTTAACTCTTTTGAACTGTGAGAGGAAAAAGGGAAGAGGCTCTGGCAGAGCAGTAAAGAAACAGCAGGTGAACTGAAAAGTCTAGAGAATCAGCTACATGTATTCACCCACTGTGCTATGAGACAGTAAAATGGAAAATGGCCATTCAACAATCTAAATTTGGAAAATTCAACTTGTTTTAAAATAACCTTGTATTCTTCCCCCACTCAACTCCCAGTGCAGCCAGCATACAGTGACATTCAGAGACCTCATGTAAATGCAGTGCACTCCTACTTTTTATAGAGTAAACACTTAAAGATGCTGCCAGGAGCCAGCGACCACAGTGATTTATATTCTACTCAGCTCTCAAAGAGAACACCTTGCATGGTCCAAGTCGACTTCAAACGAATTTGAAAGTTGAGGAGAGCGGAGAATGGCATTTTCTATGCTTCCAACAAGTGGGAGAAAAATGGTCTCTCTCTTTACATGTATGCCAGTGCCTGCATGTTGTCAGCTGCACTGAAACTGGATGAACAACAAAGACAAGACCTGAAAGCACTTCTGTGTTTTTTTTTCTTCTTCCTCTTTTTTGTTGTTGTTTGCTGTCTTGGCATTCATTTTGTTTCTGGTGAACTGACAGTATGATCACGCACACACAGATCAATGCTAAACTGTTCAGTAATGTCAGATTTGATAAAAAATTCAATTTTAAAACTTCACCAAATAAAGAAATTGTCGTTTCTCACATTGAAGATGTATATTAAATGTCATGAGTAATTTTGTGTGAGATTTTTCATTAGACATTTCATCAAAGTACTGATGTAGGAAGATATTTAATATTTAAGTGTTAGAATATGTATATACTGGAGTATGCTAGAAATGTCATCTTTCAAATGGTTAGCAGTCCTAAATCTGGTTGCTGGATTAAAAATGGCTGTCAGGAAGAAGATACAGGATACATGGTGTCTCATTCATTACAGATTTTGCATCCTTACTCTCATCCGTCTGCTGTGTTGTATTGTCTTTACTACAAGAACTAACACAACACAAGGGCCAGTAGTGTTTTTTACTTGGCATGATTGAAAAGGTCCAATGACTACAGTGCGGTTCCCTGTCAGCTTCTCTCTCTCAGTCTAGATTTGTGCAGCCTTTATCGCACTCACGGCATCCAAACGAGCTGTCGTCACCTTGGTTAATGTCATCGTCACCTGTGTCATCAGCTCGAAATGATAATTTTTTATGTTTGTGTTTACAGATGTCACCACATAAAAGAAAGATCTCCAGTCTCTTCTTCACACTGAGGAATGCAGATTGTCAAGTTAAACACTAAGTTATGATTGTGTTGAAACAGGACAAATTTGGATTGCTGCATCTCACGTTCTGTCTGATTTTGCTAGTGTTGGCGCCTCGACACACCACCTGTAACCGTTTTGGACACAGAGGGTTAGCAGGCCGGTTTGAAAGACTGATAGAGCACGCAGGTTAGAGGGGTGGCTGTGGAATACATGGCAGGTCTATCAGGCAGAAACTGCAGTTCGTGACTTGTTTTAGAGCTTTGTGTCCTGAGCTCCATTTTCCCTTTCCCTGCTGCTTAGCTTGAGACATCGAAAACTCCATGATTAGAGTGAGGAAACTGCCTTTGTTTAAAAATGACTGAAAAATGACACTTTGACAGCACATTTAAATTTGATCCCAGAGGGTACTTAAAAAGCATCCCAGTGTGACGAGTGGAAGCGAGACCCTTCCTACTACAGCCTATAAAATGGTTACATGTATATGACACACATGCCAAAGGACAGGTAGTGGGTATCTGTGAAACAAAAGGGCAGTAGTTGATGCCCTAGAAATGAGCAGGTACTGATTCAGGGTTTTGTGTGATGGTGTACATGCCAGTGTCACAAAACCTTTGAGCTTAGTGACTAATGTATGAAATTATGTATTCACAGTACTCACACTCAGATGCAGATGTCTCGTATGAACGTCTTTATTTTATTCAAGCGCGGGGCGAGTTATCTACTCACCTCGCTAACATAGATGGCCACATCTTCTTCTTCATCTGTCCTGTAGCACAGAGTTAGGCCCAACTTCTCTTGGCTGTTGAGTCGACACAGTTCTACTTCCTAAGTGGAAAAGAACGGAAAAAAAGATCAAGAAGATGGAGTGATTTTACTAAAAGATTTGGAGGGTCCAAGAGACAGACTCCTCTAACCTCTAACCTTTAAAGGAAGAAACACAAACTGAATGATGTAAATTCTAAACACTTAACGTAAAAGCATGAGCTTGGCAATGGCTACACAAACACAAAGAAGCTGTTCCACTGATGAGGTCCTTTAAGTTCAGCACAAAATAAAACTATATGATTTTTGAGTCTGGATTTCCAACTTTTCTGAGGTTTTTTAGGATTGAAAGTGTTTGATCATGAAAGACATTCTTGGCTCTGTGAGTTTGATCGGAGGGGCTTTGATAAATGTCAGAGGACTGAGTTTTTCTCTTTCAAGTCTCTGCTAAGTTATAAAATATTAGACTATAAATAAACTATATGCTAATGCCATCAGAAATACACACTTGCTACAGTACTAAACTACTCCTCCGTGTCCTGTGGGGAGAGATAAACAAACTATTGACTAACAAATCAGTGGTCTGCAAATTTCCCACGAGGCTCTTGGATTATAGCGTGGTACCCTGGTGAATACATGAATTATTCGTCTTTAATAAACACTAGTGGAAAAAAAACTAAAAATTGCACAAGTTCCCCTCCTCGTTTTGGTGGAGCTTTTTTTTATTTTCTTCAGTTTTTAAACTCTTAAAACCACTTTGCACTCTGTTTCTTTTAGCCACTGTGCAGCCAAACACGGCGCTGCACAGGTCTACACTCCATCTTCAAATGCTCAAACATATCAAGGGTGTTGGAGGGAATCAAGTGTGAAATGGCCTCTCCTCCCAAGGTCTTCATTAGAGCAGCAAAACACTCTCAGCAGCAGGAACGAGGTGGTTGAGTGAAGGGGAGGATGGTGGGGGCCGAGAGAAATAAGGTGGCGGTGAGGTTTCTGGTGGGGCTCAGAGGGGTCTCAGACAGAAACCGTGAGAGTCATTTCCTCTTTGACAAGGAGCAGGTTGGCTGGTTACACGTGTCAGATGTGGCGGTTTTTCCAGAAGTGGATGGGTGGCTTTGGGGGAAGGGGGGTGGGGGTCTGGCCATGTTGGCATGAGATGAGGGAAAAAAGGGGGGAAAGGCCAATGGCTGCTGCTTCTGGCTACCCCTACTAAGCTGTTTTTGAGACCACACACACACACACACACTTCCTCACATACACACAAACAGACCTTTAGGCTAAATTCCCATTTTTTTCCTGCCCCACTGCCACTCATTTCTTCCCACGCGCCCGTATCTCAGCTTGTCACACACACGGTGACAGATCATTGACGTGTTTTTGGACCAGCAACCTGCTGCTGCTCGGGTACACAATCCCGTAGACTCACACACACACACACACAAGCAGTTCTCTGCGCACATCTTATGCTTACACCTACACACATTCTCAACAGAGCACACATTCGCACATGCAGAGACAAAGAGCTTAAGGAGATCTGCATCATCTGAGCTTTGTGATTTTTTTCCCCCAGCATCTCCATCTGAGTGGGAGTTTAGATCTTTAATTGAGTGCCTCAGAAGCTGCGGCGGCGCAAAATCCCGGCTGATGCGTTAGTAAACAACACAAAAGCAAGAAACTTTACCTGTAGATTACCTGAACAAAATAAGCTGCAAAAATCAATCATAAGTTAAATTAAAAATGTTTCTAATGAGATATCATGCTATTGTTGGAGGAGATACTATTAAAGAAGCACGGCTCCAGAGGCAGTGGAGCAGTCATGGAGGTAATGGGGAGCCAAGGAGACAGTGCATATCTGGCATGCTAATATGATGTGTGAAATTGTGGGATATCTGTGGGAAATCACTAGCAGCGTCTCTGAGACATCTGCCTAAAAATAAACCACACAAATTAATTGCCGCGACTGAGGCGAAGCAGCAGCGTGAGCAGGTAATGCATCACCCCTATCTGGCTCCGTAAAACAAGCTTAAACTTACTTCTGACTAATTAATAGCTAGATATAGTGCTACAAACCTGCGGCTAAATGATCAGAGAAAATAGATTGGCACCATTACTACATGGTGGATGAGGCATCAAATCTGTGCGCGTCTAATGATGTGACCCCATTTTATTTATCAGATGTTCTTTTTTGCCTATTTGTTTTAAGACAATATTGTGTGGAGAAAAAAAAAAACACCCACTCACTCTGAAGCTTCTGCAAAAGGAGGTTGACTCCTGAACCATCAAACACACATTTGGCAATCACTGCCTCTCTCTTCTCTTTTCATTTGTTTTTTTTCCTCTATTTTCCAGGCGAGCTCTCTGCCTCTCAGGAAGGAGATTGCAGCACGGCACGGGGACGAGGGCTGACAGTAAATTAATGACTGCGATGGCGTGATTAAGGAGAAGATTGCCACCAACCATCAAAGCACATTGGATGCTGTCATAATAATCGCACTTTTGATTACCTGTAATTGAAAAAGCAGCCAGAAATGTGCGGATGGCTACCGCTGGCAGGGAAATTGGGAGGACTATCTCTGTGCTTGGAGTACTTCATGTCTGCAGAACTCACCTGAGGTAATCACAGGAATGGTTACTAATATAGTTTTGCCCCCACAGGCATGCAGGAATTCTAGGAAACGTATGTTTTAGTGCCCATTTTTTGACATAGAATCTCAATACAAGATGGGTGTAGCCACCATGATGGCATCAGCTGGTTTGGGATGTTAGAGCCTTATTTTACAACCGTAAATGAAAGGAAACTTTTAGCAATGGCAAACGGCCTGTATTTGTATAGCGCTTTACACTACATTCAGTCATCCACCCATTCACACACTGGTGATGGCAAGCTACATTGCAGCCACAGCCGCCCTGGGGCACACCGACAGAGTTGAGGCTGTCAGACACTGGCGCCACCGGGCCCTCTCCAGAAAGCAGTAGGCAACCAGTAGGCGACCGAGACTGTCGGAGCTGAGGCTGGAACCGGCAACCTTCCGATTACAAGACGAACTGCCAACTCTTGAGCCACGATCGCCCGCAATGTGTAGAAGCTGCTACTAGTTATTTAAGTTTATGTTTTCATTTGTTTGTTTTTTTGTTTTTCCCAGACTCTGTCTCAGATATCATTTTGGATTGAAATTTGCTCGTCTCTCTGCATAAAATTCCCTGTGGGGTCATTACTAACAGCAACACCTTTAAACATTACAAAGTCACTTGACTGGTGTGAGTGCATGTAAACATGTCAGTGATGCGGAAAGTTGCAGGTGTTTGTTAAATGTTTCACTCGATACCTTCGGGTCAATGCAAGTTGAGGCGTTTAAGACAACTAGGGTGGATGACAAGGACATTTTTTTTAAATTTTGCAACATATTCATACGAGTGTGTGTGTTTATACAACACCAACAGACTGCAATTAGATGAAGGATGCCCAGCTGCCTCTAAATACACAATTATATGCCATTACATGACCAGCTATAACCTGTAATGTGTAATGATGTCAGGTTATTTTGTGAGGTCAGAGAATTCAGCACTCGTGTTTTTATAACTTAACATGAACCATATAATGGAAGGCTTCCTGTGTCCTGTCCATACGTCCCCAGACCTGGATTAAATTACTGATCTACTCTCTTGCTTTGTTAGGTACACATGCGCAACTGATTGTTAATGCCAATATCTCATTAAATCACATGGCAGCAACTCGGTGCATTTAAGCACGTAGACCTGCTGAAGTTCAAATCGAGCATCAGAGTGTGGAAGAAAGGTGATTTAAGTGACTTTGAATGTGGAATGGTTGTTGGTGCCTGATAGACTGGTTTGAGTATTTCAGAAACTGATAATTGAAAAATGTTGCCTGGGCTGATTAGTTTCAATTTCTGCTGCAAAATTTGGATGATGAGCTCAGAACTGTGTGTAAACAACACGAGAGCATGGATCCATCCTCCGGAGATGCTGGTGTTGGTGCATTGGTATCAGGATATTTTCTTGGCACACATTTGGCCTCTTAGTAGCAGCTGAGCATCATGTAAACACCTCAGCTTACCTGAGTATTATTGCTCACCATGTTTATCACTTTATGACAGTGTAACCGTCTTCTGATGGCTGCTTCTAGCAGGATAACACACCATGTCACAAAGCTCAAATAACCTCAATGTGGTTTCTTGAACATGACACCAAGTTTATCGTACTCAAATGCAATTATCCAACAGAACACCTGGTAAAATATTATTAGCACTGTGGATATGTCACTGTGTGATTTTATTGTGTCAATATGGACCCAAATCTCTGAGGAGTGTTTTCAGCACCATAATAAATTTGCACCAGACAGAATTAAGGCTGTTCTGAAACTAAAGAGAGTCCAACCTGGTACCAACACGGTGTCCCTTACAAAGTGGGTAAACTATAAGTGTGGACTTGAAGCACCAGTCTTCTCTTAATCTTATTAACATCACTGTCGTACAGTGATGTAAACCTAATTTACAAAGTAAATTAGATAAAGTTAGTTGTTAGTTGCTATCACATAACAAAGAAAACATCTTAAAGAACTGCCTTTCCTTCATTCTTGTTACTCTCCTTCAGTGCTTCAGTGATCATACAGTGGGGCAAAAAAGTATTTAGTCAGCCACCGATTGTGCAAGTTCCCCCACTTAAAATGATGACAGAGGTCAGTAATTTGCACCAGAGGTA